CAGGAAATATAAGGGTGCCAAGAGGACAGACCAAGAACATTTAGTCTGTCTACTTCAAAAGTAGTTACCCACTTTGATTCTATCCTGATCCCTATATAGATAAAGGGAATTAGTATTTTTCTTAATTTGCACTAGTTTTTTATCTATATATAGCGAGGCTGGCTGAAAGGCTTTGCAGGAGCCTGCCCAGAGAGAGGGAAGCTCAGACAGCTGTTGCCGGTTTTGGGTGTGGCGGGCGTGGATCGGGCGGAAGGAAAGAAAAAGGAGGAAAGAAAGGGGGTAGGAGTGGTTGCTGTGGCTGTTGTCGGAGGGAGACCAGGTGAAGTCGAAGAGGGATTTGAGTTTTAGCTGATCCCTTTCTGTGAAGGAGAGGGAAGGAGAGAGTGAGTGAGAGAGAGTGAGAAGGTGAAATTTTACTGCTTTCTTTTGCAGGGGGGATATTCCAAGCAGAGGCAACAGAGAGTGAGGAGAAAGTTGCTGGGTTGCTAAATTCAGATTTTAACAATAAAGGAAAGGGGGGAGAGGGTTTGACACCGATGAGACCTGAGACTGCGAGCAACAACAGAAGAGAAGGAGAGGCTGGTCGTTACTGCTTTGGAGACTAGCGGCCATCCGAATTTTGATTATTGTTACCTGTGTAAGTTATAGACATTATGGGGAGTTGCCCCAGTGGGGCAAGCTGTTACTGCAGAACGCTGACTACCTTTGTTCGTGTTCCTATCGCTGCCTGTAGCCGGGGTTTTTCCCACCCCACTTGTTTCCAAACGGTCGCTGTGAAATCTTTGACTATTGCTGCTATGACTGCCTGGGGCTGTTAAACACCATCACACGTTGACTATTGGGGCTAGGGGCTGGTCATCTTTGTTCCTGAAAGCCCCCCCTTTGATGATGAGAGTCTGCCACCTCCTCACTTCGCGTGAGCTTCTGCTAGAAAAGACACTTCACTAACACCTTGAGAGCGCACCACAGAGCGCGACAGAGGGGAGCGGGGCTGGGAGGGCCTGGGCTTTGGCGGCCTCTGAGGGGGTAATGCTACATATATATTTTTAAACTTCAATAAAAATATTATTTAAAAAAGAAGGAATGCAAGAATGCCAGATGATTTCTAAAACAGCAAGTCCCGCATGTTGTATGAATTTTAGCAGCTGATGTTTGGGAATTTCCAGCATTTTTTCCAACAGCTGTGCCACTGTAGCCATAATAGCAAGATGACAAAAAGTGGAATAAAAGAAGATCTACTCTCTCTGCTTTAAAAGAGAAGCTGATCAATTGCTTACACACTTAAAGAACTAGTAGCACTATAAAGTGCCAATTGGAATCTAAACTGGTATTTAACTTTTATTTATAGTCATTTTAAATTTTGAAAAAAAAAATTCCAAGCATTTCCACATATAGAAGTGAGTAAACCAGCAAATCTCATTTGGAAAATAGAAGCTTCAGGATTACATACTAGAATACATGCAACCTGTTAGAATTATGCAGTATTTTACATTCTAAACAAAGGCTTTGAAGAACATTTAACTTCTCTTTGTAATGTTTCTAATTTTGTTTTGATCTTCTTTGATATTACTAAATACCACAGTATACAAGAGGAAATGAAATCAAACAAGAAATGCAATTCTTTTTATAGCTGAAGAAAAAATATAACAGTTTGCCCTCAAACCAAAGAAAGAAACCACAGGAAAAGTTACAGATCAAAGGAAGATTAGATCACTTTATTTACTTTCATTGTCTGAACTGTCACTGCTGCTTAGATGCCTGTAGCGTTTCATCCTGACGCATCCTATAAAGAGTGAAAACAAACAGTTAGCAAAATTCTTCCTGCAAGGGAAATAAGCAGCCATATGCCTTAATTCTGCACCCAAAATTAGTTTTGCTGTGCAATAAAATACAAGGATATCTTATTTGTTTATCACATGTATAAAGCTACTTAATTACAAAGTAATTACTCAATGTCTTCGGGAAAACCCAGGTTTTAAGGTTCCATTTGAATGAAACCAGGATAGTGGTAATGCAGATCTCAGGCCGGGGGGAGGGGGGCAGAGATGCTGTTCTAGAGTCCAGGTGCAACAACAGAGAAGTTTGCTTTCTAGGTCACAAGAGATAACATTGTTTACAGACACTGTCCAGGCAAACTGTATTAAAGCATCCACTTAAACAAACTGCATCAGTTAAAACAGGGGTCCCCAACCTGTGGGCCACGGCCCACTATCGGGCTGCTGCCACTTGGCCACTGGGCTATGTGAAGGGATGGTCAGTGCTTGCGCGCACACACTCACCCTCCCACAGTCGCACTAGCACCTCCCCGAGCATCCCACCAGCACTAGTGCCGCCCCGAGCATCCCACCAGTACTAGTGCCCCCCATAGCATCCCGCCAGCACTAGAGCCACCCCATTTGCAGCACTCGTGCCCATGCAACCATGTATGCACGTGCGCATGCGCTCACATGCAGCCATTTGCGTATGCACATGCAGTCACACATGGCTCATTTGTGCACACGCACATAGCGGTGCCTGCATCCCTTTCCGGGCCGCCAAACCAAAAAGGTTGGAGACCTCTGAGTTAAAATACACATAAGATAAACTAAATTCGCCCAGATCCCTGTTAATGACTAACAATTTTTAATTAGGTAGAAAAGCAGGAATTCAGACTATAAAATCACTAGGAATAAATTATATACATCTTTGTTCTATCTTTGGAAATATTCACCATTTAATCCACATTTCAATAATTCAGTAGTTATTTACTGCTTTCTCTTATTTAACTACCTGCCTATAGGAGGATCTCTCCTCTTATTCCATGATGCTATTTTTTATCAGTGTTTTCCAAAAGCCTTTTAAAAGCCCAAGCAAACAGACTTCATCAGTGTACTTCATATTTCAAAAAATTCCAAGAAATTAGCATTATTTCTTAGCAGAAGCCATGTTAATTCTTCAATATTGGTATTTTTTTGCTATATGCCCATTAATTTTATAGGAAATAATAGTTTTATAATTTACTTTAAAGTGAGATTCAAGCCTATAAGTATCAGTAATTGCTTTTGTTTTTTTTAATTAGTATTTCAATGGACACATTATAGCTGTCTTATACATAGGCAGATCTTAGGGTTATTATATACTTTCTGTTAAAAGATCAGTGGTACTTCTCCAGCACTGGAGATGGAGGATCCACCCATGGGTAGTAGACTGTATTCCTGCCCAATCAGATTAAGTCAGCCAAAGTTGCCACGCCCGTCCTGGACCACAGATTCCCAGTCTTGACTTAATCTTGCCCATGGACGGACGTACAACTCTGGCTCTTAGGCAGGTATAGTCTTGATCATTGGTGAATCCTCCACCTCTTTGCCTATTTAATCTGATTTTCAGTATTTGATCTGTTAGGGGATAGTCCCCTCTCTGTTAAAAGATCAGTGGTACTTTTATTTTAATAATTTAAGAATTCTCACATGATACCATGTGGTCTAGCATTTTTAAGTTCTTATCACCATTGCCACTCTTTTTTATCCAAAACAATTTTTATTAGTTTTCCATTTTATACCAACACAGCTTAGGAACCCACTTGGAAACATGGTGATCCATTTTTTAAAAAACAAACAGTAACATAGTAAATATATACCCATTATTTCTTTAAAATTTCCCTCTCTATCTATATGGAATATTATAATCAAATTAATACATTTTCTAATAAATTCGTTCATTACTATGTCTAGCCATACACTGCATTAATCAATAGAAAATTTCTAATCTATAAAAACCTATATTTCTTCACACATATAAACTTAATCTTAATGAACTCCATTCATTTAAAAACATTATAATCAAGTCAATATCTTTCTAAAACCAATTCATTCACTAATATAACATTTCATCCAAGTTATATAATTAAAAATAAACTAGCATTCTCTATCTATTTATATTGTTATAGGCTCATTAAAACCTTTCTAGAACAAATTTTCATTGAATATATATAAATTTCATTAATCAATAAAAGTTTACAAACTCATTATCCATCCCAAAGATCCTGTATCATGCTTTCTTAATTTTGCAAATATTTAATCTTAAACTAACATATTCATTTTCTATTCAGGTGCCCCAAGTGTTTTTTTATTTAAGCATTATTAAGTCCAAAAATAATTTCTTCTCTTTCTCACCAATCTTCTATTATTTTTCACTGTTTCTCCAAATCTCCAATAATTAATTCCATCATTTCCCATTTTTCAGTTCTTTTCTCATTATATCATATAAAACCCTTTTAACAAAGTCCAAACCCAAATCAGTCTAGATCACTATCAGGCCTTTACCACATTACTATAATCAGATTTAATATTTATATCTTATTCTGGGTTTCTTTCTAGTCCAAACAGGTTTCCATAATCGGGCCTCCGCCTGCCACACTATACACTCCAAAAAGAAAATTCCCATTATGCATTTTGTTAAGTTAGTATAAAAGTTATAATTAATCTGAATGACTTATAGCAGAACATCATTTCCCCTTTCTTTTAGCATTGAATAAATTTCACTTAAAATCCTTTCATTTATATCGTCCTCTTTGATCACATGGTTCCCTTCTTCCCATGTTTTTTTCTTTATCTCAAATTCAAATGGCATCTGCAATCCAACTTGTCCTTCTGAAGCAAGATTGTCCAGTTCCTTATCATAAGTCCTTTGTCCGTTAATATCAAGTCTTTTTTCCAAAATCAATTGATTGTCCAGCTGTAGGTTTGCTTCTTCCACCTCAATGAGCAGAGCACAAGCCTCTTGTGTGTAAACTGCTGTTTCACTTAGTCCTTGTCTTTTGCCTTGTCGAAACAAAGAATTATCCTTTGAGCAAGCAATTATCTTCTCCATATTTTCCAAAATTTTGTCCAAAATATACTTATAAGTAAGATCTACACTGGTTTCCTCCATCTTTATTATCTTTCAAATCCTTATCCTTGTAAAGGAGACTATATTTTAAAAAAATCACAATATCCATCTCCTCCCAGTTTCCTCGCCTTTTTCCTTTGTACAAAATGAAAGCCTTTCCAACGAAGAAAAGATAGCAAGTACAATGAATAAATTTGTCAGAGAGTGTCCCCCGGAAAGTAATCAGATGTTCAATCCTTCCAGACACCATAAAGGTAAAAGCAAACAATATTCTCCAAATATTATAAAAATCTTTCTTGAGGCTCCCAATATCCAAAAGTAAAATCAACCATTAAAACAAAAATAAATTTAATCCTTTGTGCTTCTCTTCCCCCATTTAAAAAGCCGCTTCACCAGAAAAGGGAATAATTCCAAGGAAAAAAAAACTTTGCACAGGCATAAAGAAAATAGAGGTGAAAGGAAAGTCTCATTGGGTTCTCCACGGTGGATCCGTTTGCTTAGCTGATCTTGTGGCTTGCGGTTGGCGCAGCTAAATGATCGGCCATTTTACTGGCCGATCTTTACCCTGTCGGCCCAAAGGAGATACTCGGTGCACAGAGGATGCCGCCGCTCCTCTGCAACCATCCGAGAAGCCTCCTCAATGGTAGACGCTCCTCCAGAGCGTCTTTTCGACCCTCTAAGGGGTCTACCAGCAAGGGAAACTCGATCGGCAAAGGGACGACTCCCCTCGCACGACTGCACCGCCGCAAACCAGAATTGGAAGCCTCCATTGCCACTCTTAATTCCTTGGGTTTGCTTTTAGAAAATGTTCAGAAACTAGTATCTACTTGATTCTCTTTATTTTCCTTATTATCCTTAACAGACCATAAATTCCCGTCTCATCCAACAGCTGAGCAAGTTTTCTAGACAGCTACATGTTTGTGATGTATTTTAATTGTTCAGTCTTTGTGTTTAAAAAAATAAATTTAGATTTGTTCTTATCTGCATACAGCAGGGGTGTCAAACTCGATTTCATTGAGGGCCGCATCAGGGTTGTGGTTGACCTTGGGGGGCCAAGGTGGACGTGTGGCCAGCTCAACATCACCCATGTCGGGGGACGCCTATGGTGGCCTGGGTGGGGCTGGGGGGGCCTTGCTGTCCCTCTCAGGCCATGCAGAAGACCCCCAGTGATGCAGGCTGCCCAGAGCCCTGGGCAGTGGAGGGCTAGCGCCCAGTCCAGCCTTTCCCAAGGGGGCGCCTGGCTGCGCTTACCTCCTCCTCAAGGCTGCTGCTGATTGGCTCACTCTCCTTGGCCAAGTTGCTCATGGTGTGTGTGGGAGGGCAAAAAGTCTGTGTCGGAGGGAGGCCCACTCCCTCTCCCTGAGACGAGACCCAGCTTTGTAACCAAAGCATCCTCAGCGATAGGATGGGAGACCACCAGGAGAGGTCAGGAGGAGGGGACAAGAGAATGGCAAAAGGGCAGCAGGGCTGCTCGTGGCCACGTGCTAAGGCAGGACTTCCCTCAGACCCTTTCTCCCTCATTATAATCTTCCTTCCTTCTTCTTTCCTTCCTTCCTTTCCCCCCTTTTCTTCTTTTTCCTTCCCTCTTCATTCTCCTTTCCTTCTTCTTCCATCCCCTCTTTCTTTCCTTTTGTCTTTCCTCTTTCCCTTTCTCCTTTCCTGTCCCTTCTTTGATGTTCAAATGCAAAAGGGGAAACATTTCTTGATGCCTCCTTTTCTTGTGATCAAATACCAATTTTGCTAGTAGTCTGTGGCCACTTAAAAGATTGAGAGCAAACCAAGCTTAATTTATCCAATGCTTGCATTTAGTGGGGGCATCCACAGACAACAGTACAGCAAAACTGTCAAAATGGTGGCTGTGACAGTTGATCAGAGCTCTTCCATTTTTTATGTGCAACAGCTTTAGCGTTTAAGAAC